GGATTCAGAAGGGGACGTGGAACCAGGGATATCGTTGCTGATGTCAGATGGATCCTGGCTGAAAGCAGAGAATACCAGAAAGATGTTTACCTGTGTTTTATTGACTATGCAAAGGCATTCAACTGTGTGGATCATAACAAATTATGGATAACATTGCGAAGAATAGGAATTCCAGAACATTTAATTGTGCTCATGAGGAACCTGTACACAGATCAAGAGGCAGTTGTTCAGACAGAACAAGGGGATACTGTGTGGTTTAAAGTCAAGAAAGGTATTCGTCAGGGTTGTATCCTTTCAATCAGATTATTCAATCTGTATGCTCAGCAAATAATCTGAGAAGCTGAACGATATGAAGAAGAACGGGGCATCAAGATTGGAGGAAGACTCCTTAACAACCTGCGATATGCAGATGACACAGCCTTGCTTGCTGAAAGCAAAGAGGACTTGAAGCACTTACTGATGAAGATCAAAGACCACAGCCTTCAGTATGGATTACACCTCAACATAAAGAAAACAAAAGTCCTCACAACTGGACCAATAAGCAACATCATGATAAACAGAGAAAAGATCGAAGTTGTTAAGAATTTCATTTTACTTGGATCCATAGTCAACACTCATGGAAGCAGCAGTTAAGAAATCAAAGGATGCATTGCATTGGGCAAATCTGCTGCAAAAGACCTTTTTAAAGTGTTAAAAAGCCAAGATGTTACCTTGAAGACTAAGGTGTGCCTTACCCAAGCCACAGTACTTTCAGTCACTTCATATGCATGTGAAAGCTGGACAATGAATAAGGAAGACTGAAGAAGAATTGATGCGTTTGAATTATGGTGTTGGCAAAGAATATTGACTATACCATGGACTGCCAAAAGAACAAACAAATCTGTCTTGGAAGAAGTACAGCCAGAATGCTCCTTAGAAGCAAGGTTGGCGAGACTACATCTCACATACTTTGGACATGTTATCAGGAGGGGCCAGTCCCTGGAGAAGGACATCATGCTTGGTAAAGTAGAGGGTCAGTGGAAAAGAAGAAGACCCTCAATGAGATGGATTGACACCGTGGCTGAAACAGTGGGCTCAAGCATAACAACGATCGTGAGGATGGCGCAGGACTGGGCAGTGGTTCGTTCTGTTGTACGTAGGATCACTATGAGTCAGAACTGACTTGAGGGCACCTAACAACAACAACAGGTGGAATCACCCGGGAGCTTGTTAGAAATGCAGAATTTTGGACCCCACCTGGGAACTATTCAGTCACAATATGCATTTTAACAAGATTACTGTTTGATTTGTACGCACATTAAAAATCGAGAACTCTAAAGGACCCAAAATAGTCTAGCTGATCTTTTGTCTCTGTAGTTTTCTATGAAAATTATTTAAAGAAATAATAATATTTTTAAAAGATCATAGAAACAAATGCTGCCACTGAACACTCTTAGCAAACAACACAATGTAACTTTGATTGGTAAATCTGTTTTTAAATAGTTAAAACATTTTCCTTTAAATGAAATGAAATGTCCTTTATTCTCAGGAAATGAGTTCTTGTAGACTTCATCCATCCCTTGAGCTAAGTGGTTTGTATAGCAGATTCAAACACAATCACTTCCCTCTGCTTTGTCTTTCATTTGAAAGGGGTTGTTTCAGAATCTGTTTTTCTGTATTCTACTGGCATAGAAAAAAACTCATAAAGACCAAACCCATTGCTATCAAGTCGATTCCGACTCATAGCAACTCTATGGGACAGAGTAGAACTACCTCATAGGGTTTCCAAGCAGCAGCTGGTGGATTCAAACTGCCAACCCTTTGGATAGCAGCTGAGTGCTTAACTGCTGCACCACCAGGGCTCCTGGCATAGAGGAGGGCATTTTCCCCTTTCAGATACTATGATGATAGGATTGTAAATGGGTTTAAGGAGCATAATTATGGTATATCTTTGTTTCTGATTTACGATAATACATGAGTGGTTTCCAAAACTTTACGATAAGACATTAAGAGAGAGAGAAGGAATCCATGGGTAATTGGATGAGCTTAGTATTAAAAAAGAAAAACTTACAAGCCACTAAATTATTATAAGTTCAATTTTTTTTCATAGATGACAGAACTTTTGGGTTCTGGAAAAGTATCATTTCACTTCAGAAACGAAGTCATACCGTGGCTGCCACATTAAACCTCTGTAACTGAAGAACTCTGTTAGTTCTGGCTGTCCCCTCCGAATATTTCGGTGGTGGACCACTTAGGATTCTACCTACTAGAGGTCCAAAATGAGGTGACTGCATGGTCAGATTTAACACTGAACTTCAGTCTTACTAACATTCTCAACTCTGATAAATTTCATTGGGTCACATTTAAACTTACTGAAGTCATTCATTCTCCTTTATTGTATACTGTCACTCATACTAGGATCTTTCAACAAGAGAACTCATTTGCCAGTCTAAGCTCTAATAAAATGAGCTCTTGTAAAAATAAGATCTAATAAAAAGTTCAACAATGTGTATTGTAAAAATAAAATAGAGCTTACTAAATATATTTGAAATCAAACCTCCCCTCCTCCCTTTTTTTAATGTCTAGGAACAAAGAACATGCATTATTCAGTAAAGTACCATTAGCTACAAGCTGATAAGTTGGGCCTGAATATTTGAAAGCAAAAAACATAGAAAATCAAAAGAGAAAGTGTTTTCAAAGAGCAACTGCAGTGTCTATGACAGTTACTGTAAAATTTGTGGGTTAACATTGCTTTAAGGGCAAAGAAGGCACTTGGAAGAAAGGATGAAAATAAAAATGCTTTCTAAATCATGATCTGCTCTTAAGAAGTGTGCGCTACTGAAGACTGGGGTAGGAGTTCAAACCTGTCTCTGGTCATAGGAAGAGTCCTCATCAGCTTTTCAGCCCTAAGTGTATTTTTGTTACAATGTTATACTTAAAGACTATAGGCACTTTTATTGAGGAAAAGGCTATACCAATATCATCCCATGGTTTAAGGATTTCTTACGTCGCCTTTACAATTTATGATAGCATTTCATTTAATTTCAGTTAAATTCAGTGCCTGGAAATGCGATTTTTTTTTTCTTTCCTGAATCCTGTAGTCCCTGTTTTCCCCTCATCAGTTTTTTCACAGCCACCTTTTCATGAACTATTTGCTCATCATAGAAGTCTCAGAATATTAATACTCAATAAGCAAATCTCTGTAGTTGGAAGATATCTGGATGGATCAAAGGTTTGTATTTTTCATATATTATTGTATTATTTGATTTAAAGAGGTTTGGGGTAGGTAGTGCTTCTTCGTTCTCACAGGACAATATACTTTGTATTAACACTGTCTGATTTCTCCACATGTCAACTGTCACACTTGCCAAACGGTAACCAGGACTTTAAATGAGGGCTGTATTTCCCAATGCTTTGACAAAATAAATGCGAAAATGGAGTCAAATGAAGTCCTGTGTGTGAAAAAAAGCAAGTCCTAGACTAGGTGCAGCATGACAACATCTTTAGAAAGCTCAAAGTAAGCAAAACTAAACACATATTTTTCAAAGTGCATGTATTTGTGATAAAATAATAAAACACGAGCATGAGCAATATTCAGTGTATCTGGAGCCCCTAAAGGGTAAGCATGAGGAAGGGATAGGGCAGTGGCACATAGGGTAGTTGCAGGTTATTGGAACACACACACACACACACAAACACAAATGCTTTATCATGGATATTATTTGATTTTTAAGTAGAAGAAAACCAGGAGGTTTATATCGTTTGGGAACAAACTGATGATGAAATTGTAGGGATTCCCCTCTTAGCTGGGGTACCATATTGTTCTAAAAGTACTGAGTACTGGGGTCCTTTGAACTCCACTTACTGCTGCACTATTCAATTTATGGCAAATAGTGACATTTTTCTGAAATTCCTAATAATAAACTAATATGCACAATTATTATTTCTAATAATATATTTTGCCTGCTCGGGTTTACTATTCAACTTTTTAAATGGTGCTATCAGGATGAGACTAGTGGCTTTAATTTAATCAGAGAGAGTAAATGAAGTCTGAGATTATTCTTCTCATATTCATAGTTGGTGTTATATGTTCATGCTTTCGATCAATAAATGCATTGTTCCTAGGAGAATATTTCTAGAATTATGTTTTTGATTTCAGAGACCAAGTACAAGTGAACTCTGGTTTTCATTACATCATGTAGCAAGAAGCTCTGTCTTACTAGTAAATCAATAGTTTGCAAAGCAAGGGCATCTTTAATTATCAGATATGAGAGTCTGGAGGAAAGAACAATCTCATATCAGTGCCACACTGCAGTTTCAATAACATAAGAAGGATCCCTCATCACTCTAGGCAGGCTAGAATCTAGAAGAGAATGAGATAAGATTCAGGTGCAAATTCTTTCAGCTTTGTAAAACTTACAAAACCGTTCCCCCATTCTCAAAGGGATGAGCATGTAGCAGGCCTTGGGAAGCCTCATCAAGCTGACTATACTTTGGAATAGATCTTTGTTTCCCTGCTGGGCAGTGGAGGGACCAGTACTAGCAAGGATGGCAGGCAGGCTAGCTGGTATAATTGCAGCAAGGCTATCCTTCTTGCTGCTGGTTGTATAAATATTTGCCTTTACTTAAAAGAGGAACCTCTCTTGGGGACCTGTGGGATACTTTTTGGACAGGGAAGGGGAAATAAAACCTAAAAGTTAACTATTTGGAAACATAAGTTCTAAGCGTCTCTGATTTTAAGCAGATTACTTGAGGTTAAAATAGAATTCCCTACCCCTCTCAAAGATACTGTTTAACTCTGCCAATTCTAAAATGTGTACATTTTGAATGGAAATGTATAATTAATTTTTAAAAAGCCCTTCCAAAGACACTTTGAAATAAAATTTAGCATCCTGGAAGTTAATTGAGGGAAGTGTGTGTAACATGGGACTTGATTGAATGAAATAAGCAACAGATCATTATTTTATGCCTATCATATTTGGTCTCATTTTAATTTCACAGGAAGAACAACTTTACTGTACCTGACGAGGGGTTCTTTCTGACTTACTCCTACACCACTCCCAGTCTGAAAGGTCTGGTTTCTGATTCTCCTCATGAGAAAGTCTTCTTTCTGGCCCTTCCAAAAAGGCAGTGTCTTCATAGTTAATGCCACCTCTTGTTTGGTCAGAAAACAGTGGGTCGACGCCCTTGTCTTTGTCAGAACAGTGTTTCACATCCGTGATATCAGTATTCGTGCACTTGTTGATTCCTTTCAAGGTGGAGCTGTCCACAGAGGGCGTGGTGCTGATTTCCACTTTGAGGGCATTGAAGACGTTGCGGATGTCTCTCCGGGAGTCCTTTGTAGTTTCACACTCACAGTGTACCGGATTGTGATAGGATATAAAATTCTCATCATCCTCATAGTAATCTTCATGTGCTATTTTATAAATTCCATAACTTCGTTGGAATGATAGATTGAATTCAAAGCTTCTTTTGGCTGAGTGAAAACAAAACAAAACAAAAATTCCATGGTTGGTAAGATACACGTAAACAACAGTGGAAAATACACAGTGAATACAAGTAGGAAAGTGCATTCAACCTGATTACCGTGAATTAAAAATAGCCTTCACTTACTTCTTGTCAATTATGCGAAGCAATTATGGCCCACAAAAGCAAGTCATCCCATTACTCCGAATTTTTCTAATTTGCACAATGAGGGGGTTGGAATACATACAATCCCAAGGAGCCTTTCAGTGTTTAAAGTAGTTTTATCGAACTTAAATATTTAAACCATAAATAAGGAGACTCTCAAATATCTTCAATTTTAGTACTTTTTTCAGTCTACCTATTATTCTGAACTTTTTTTTTTTTAATTTTGGGGTAAAATATATCGTTTATAAATTTTAGTTTGCTAGAAATAAATTTATGAATCACTTTAATGTTATGCTGAGAACACCACCAACAGATATAATTGCTTTAAACATTTTGATGCATACTATCCCTAACCTTTATATGCTTATAAGTGCATACATTAAGAAATTATGCTGTAATACAGTTTTTAAACTTTTTAAAATAATGCCTACATTCAGATACTAATTAATTTAGAATATATTGATAAAAAATGTGAATGGATTTATATTTCTGTGAACTGAAACACTTTATGACATGTCTGTAAAGCTGATTAATGACAGATGAATTTAGCCAGGAGTGCTTAAAACTTTTTATGATTAAATCAGGTGAAATATGATGGTATCCTAAATATAATACTGTTAATTGGTGGATTTGGTACAAAGTCTTATTAGAATAACAAATGAGGCTGTGACAGAAAGTGATTTTCTTGTGTGTGTGAATGTCACTAAATCCTACATAATTTTGAAATATTAAGAATGAAGTTATATCATGGTGCTAGGGTAAGTGTAATTTAATGTTTTGGTTTTCATCTTTCAAGACATGGCTCATTTCAGACAGATTCTCTACCTTGATAGCTCTGTGTTTTATAACCAGACATTTAGCTATCCTTGGTGGATAAAATTATGAAAACTTACATAGTTTCTATGGGAAAAATAGGTAAATTTTGATTCTTTTTACAGTAACCTTAATGCCTTTCACATGCTGATTCTATTACTGAAATGTTCCCAGAACTGGAGATTTACAAACCAATTCTGCTGCCTGAAAAATATAATTTGAAGTATTCATTGTTGTTTGACTCAGCATACAAACAAGAAGAATTTCTATTCAAAGAGAATGGAAAAATAGAAACAGATATGTTCATTTTTATACACTGTTTCATTTATATTTCTACTTACTTTTTCTAGTAATATAGCCCATTAAAATTAAATTAGGATTTTTAACTTACTTTAACAGCATGAAAGGTGGAAGAAATAATGTTTTAATTATTGACTGATTTCTCCTTTCTCCAAAAAAAAGATATGAAGTGACATATTGTCAATTCAGGGTCAGTAAAAATAACTTAAATGAAATCCCAATTCTGTGATATGAAATTTGAAAAAATAACAACATGCTATAACTAATATCACTGAATGGTACATGTGGAGAATGTTGCAAAAGCAAACAATTTGTTACGTCTATGTTTACCACAATACAAATAATTGACGTCTATAGCTATATATTTTATTAGCTGTATATTATAACTATGAAATATGTAAAGGAAAATTGAGTCAGATTTTTGAAGGAATGTGCAGAATGTGAATGAGAATTTCCCTCCACATCATGAGGAGGAAGAGGCAGTCTGAGATAGGCTGTGAGAAGACAGGGGAGTTGTGACAGACAGCACTGGGAGACAGACCATCCTCGAGCCAGATACTGCCCACAGATCACCTCATTTAACACACTGACAGCTCCACACAGTAACAAGTCTATTGGTCCTATTTTAGAGATGAGAAGAGTGAGGCTGTAGAGGAAACTACCTAAGATTATCTCTCTGGTAAACAGATTTGAGTTTAAAGCTAACTGAATCCAGAATTATAGTTATTAACCACTATGTAAAACTGCTTTATTGCTAACCAGACCCATGGGAGAAATGTGTCAATAGAAGCAGAATGGCTTGAATGTGCTGTTGTTAAGACTCAGGAGGTACATGAATTATGAAGTGTAACCAAGGAAAACATTCCCTGTTAGTGAGTTACCTTAACTCTAAAGGTAGATTCTGACCGAGGTTACTAGGAGAGGCAATAGCTTACAACAGTATTGGAGTTACAGCTGACCATCTGTAAGCTCCTTGAGGGCAAAGACCATGTCTTCCTCTTCTTCTTCCTTCTTCTTTTATGAAACAAGGGTGGAAAAACTCAAATGTCTGTAGGGGCCAGTCAGGTAATGTTGATATTGCCAGTGGCATCCAATGACAACAACAACAGGTCTAAACAGTGACAATGGGCAGAGCTTCCCCTCTACCTAAAGCAGGCGTCTCTACTGCAGCCAATTGTTACCTTGAGGGACTTGTGTTGTCAGCTATTCATATTTTTCCAGACAGCCCAGAAGTGTTGGATTTTGATGTAAAATCTGATCTTAAGATCTTGGCACAAAATTAAAATTGGGTAAAAATAACTGTGAGGGTGATAAAACCACATCTTTGAGCCAGTTTCAGCTCACAGGCCATGAGGTGGTAACTTGTGTTCTTTATTGAACTTGTGGTACACTGCCAGACACATAATGACCACTCCTGTAATAAATCTTTGTTGAGTGAGTGAGTGAATGAATGAGTGAATGAAACAAGCCATAGGAAGCATGGCTGGTGTGACAGGGATGGATTTTGACAGGATGGCCTCAACTCAATGACTCTGGCTGAATGGACTGATTTCAAGAGAAATTATACTTAAAAAAATTGATTTATTTAAAGGAGGACAGCCTTAAAGGCGTTAGAGTTCCTGCCTCC